TTGGTGCGTGTAAAAGATCTGCGGGCTCTCGGCTTGCTGCGGTCCGCGGGCCGGTTCTAATAATAAATCAATATCATCCCAGGGGCCACTGAAAACATTCTCGCGGGCCGGATTTGGCCCGCGGGCCGGCACTGTGACATAGGTGCTTTATAATATTGGAAATGGAACCAGAAAACATTTTCACATCTGCATCAACTTTCATTTAAAACTCTCCTTTCACGTTCGTCATCTGAACCATGTGAAAGAGTACTTTCTGAGGCTGGGGAGCTGGTGTCTAAGAGGAGAAATCGCCTTGGGGCAAAGACACTCCAAAAACTTTTGTTCCTCAATAAAAATTCATAAACAAATCCCTTTTTTGTCTTTTACTTCACATGATTTAACAAAAAATTTCTACATGAGTTAAAAATCTGAATTGTAACTCAAATTTGCGATATTTTACATACCAACTCAGTTTAGCATTTACACAAGGAATTTCTTTACCTGCAATGATTTTATAACTACTGCAGGGGTCACTATTGGGTGACCAACACAGTGTCAATACAGTGCTGACACAGTTTGTGAAGTGGGTCAATACACTCCTTGAGGTATCATTGTCCCATCACTACAAAGCGGCATGATTGTTGGCAATATTCGGCACGTTTTCGCTGAAAAAAAATCAAGCAGCTTATCAGTGTGATTGGGGTGTAATGTCTTTAAGTGACGCCTTAATTTATTTGGCTTCATGCTGTCCTCTACCAAAATGTTTAGACACAGTAAGCACATCGATCTTTCCTCGTCTGCCACCGCAGTCACATTGAAGCCAAGCGCTACATACGCCTCGTCATATTTCCTCCCTGAGAATGCTCCCTGCGCAAACTCTGCCAATGAGAGCGTCACTGCCCCCTAACGTAGCGGAGGTGCAACTGCACATTATTTTAGGACAGTAAAAAAATAAAAAAGCATGTTCCCCGAGGTCAAACGCGCCCCCCTTGACGGAGCCTCGCCCCCCCCCCCCCCCACTATTTGAGAAACACTGCCTTAGTCCATCCATCCATTTTTCTGATCCACTTTATCCTCACACGGGTCGCGGGCATGCTGGAGCCTATTCCAGCTGTCTTCAGGCAGTAGGCAGGGGGCACCCTGAACCGGTTGCCAGCCAATTGCAGGGCATATAGAGACAAACAACCCTCCGCGCTCACACTCACACCTAGGGACAATTTAGAGTGTTCAATCAGGCTGCCATGCATATTTTTGGAATGTCGGAGACCCCGGAGAAAGCCCACCCAGGCATGGGTAACCATTCAAACTCCACACAGGAAGGCCAAAGCAAGAATCGAAACCTGCACCTCTGCATTGTGAGGCCGATGTTTTAACCAGTCAACCACCGTGCCGCCTGGAGTGTAATTAGATAAGTAAAATTAGGAAAATGAATTGTGCTAAAGAAAACAAACCATCATGATGGTTCTCTTTGTGACCAACAGGTGGCACTGGAGGGCTTATCCTACAGAGTCGCACCTGTTGGTCATCATAATATTAGTTATTTTCTTTCAAAAGGACTGCCACTCGGGGTCTTATCATTGTATTGCTGTCATGTTGTTTGTGCTTCTGCCATGACTTTCTGTTTGTTTGTTACTTTGGATTCTTGTGTTTTCACGATTTAGTTTGTTTTGGATTTAGTTTTTCCAGTGTTTTTTTGTTAATACATTTTGTTCAGTCCGTCCCTTCCTGTCCTGCCTGCCTGCTTTTGGGGTATTCTACCATCACGCAACATGATACAAACACTTAAATTGTTTTTAATTGTATGAAATTTATCCAAAACGTTTTGCTTTGCCTCACAATTATGCATCATATAACAATTAAATTGATCACCAAAATGAAAACATGATATGCACCCTGTAAATTTTTTTTAATGATTATAAAAATCATCCATTCATCCATCCATTTTCTAATCCGCTGAGCCTCACAAGGGTATTATATTATTATTATTGTTATTATTATTATTAATTATAATAATAATAATAATAATAATAGTTACTATTATTTCTAACTTAAATATTAGGACCTTTTATAAAGCATTGTAACGATACAGTATTTTGTAATGAATTGGGTTATGGATGTTTTATTGTTTTGGAACCCTTGTTATTGAACCCCGTGCGGCAATGTGTGTGTGAGAGAGAGAGAGAGAGAGAGAGAGAGAGAGAGAGAGAGTGAGAGAGAGACAGAGAGCGCACGCGCAGCGTTCGTGTCTCGGCGTGTCCCAACGTCCATACAGAGTAGTGATGGGAATTCCGGCTCCTTTTCAAGAGCCGGTTCTTTTGGCTCGGCTCACTAAAAAGAGCCGGCTCTTTCGGCTCCCAAATGGCTCCTCAGTTTTTTTGTTGCTTAAATTAATTTACTTCCAAAAATCATGTAAAATTATGTGTAAAATGAATTACTAATGTAAAAAATATATACAGTATATCAAATCTTTATTATTACTACATTTATGGCTTTATTTATATTCTTCTGAACATACTCAACATGGAGTGCTACAAAAAATAAATTACAAAGTGCAAAAACAAAGACCCATCTCAAAACAAGGTCAACAAAAAGTTCCAATCTCTGATTGTGTATATTTATAAGCTTTTAACTATTTACAGTAAAACAACATACCGGTAAGTAAGCTTTGATTACCACACAACAAATTATAAATTAAAATTTGATTTTGGATATTTTAACCTTGCACAGTCTGCACGCTGCTATTGAACTATCAATTAAGTTGAAGATGAGTCCAAATTTCACTGCTTTTCCTATCTATTTTCTCACCTTTCCACTTTCCACCGTGTAGTTTTTTCTCTGTACTGTAGCGCTATCGAGCTCTCTCTCGTCTCCCTGTCTCTCCTGTTCGTGTGCTGCTCACAGTGTGCTTCTGTGTGTGTGTCTCTAACTCCTCCCCCTTCTCGACGCTACAGCGTGCGTGTGTGTGTGTG